GAGTCTATATGAAAAGGCCCCTTTAATGCCTCCAGAGATGGGTCCTTTAGAGTTGACTAGATAACCAATGTGCCTCATTTGGTAGAGATGCCCTTAAAAAGAAAGGCAGCATTGAATGTCACATTTACTAAGCCTCCTCTATGGTGGTCGGCCAGTGAGGGAGGAAGGTAAAACCTCAAGCCGAATAGACCCCCCATAGTTTCCAAGTAATGCAGTAAACAAATCTATGATGCTTGTTGAATAATCTTCCAATAATTGCAGTCATTAAAATCATCACACAGTCTACAGTCACCTTCCTTCCTTTGACACACCAGAGTCTTTCCTTTAATTGTTAATGAATTTTTGGCTCAGATAAACATCAAGGCAGGCTTAAAATATATGGCCCAGATACATCTAGCAGCAGAAAATTAGCTGTGTAGGCAAACGCTTAGAGTGTACTTAACAGAGGAAAGGTTTTCAATCTCTCCTGCAGACCACACAGATGCAAGAAAAATTTGCATCTCCTGCAAAATAACAGTGATACCTCTGAAACAGAGAAAAGATGAAAGGCCCATTGACCTATTGATCCTTCCTGGATCTCTTATTTGGAAGGGTAGGACTGCAATGAGGGCGTTATAGAACATATATTAAATGAAAGCGCAAAGGAAATTGTAGGAGAGTTCCTCAATTTTCAATTAATTTCCTCCATCCATTTGATCTCCACGCCAGTGCTTTTTAAAATATAAATATATATTAACTATAAAAGATTCCCTTCTAATCAAAAGCTGCATTTCATCTTCATCCACTACTGAAAAACTCCACTGCAGAAAGGATTCACTCGACTCAACAGGCACTAAGGTCTGTACTGGCTCCCTTCACCCTTGTTCATGGCAGGGGACGATGGTACACAGGGCAGGTTTGTTGTTCTTAAAAAAAAAGCAAAACCTCACGTTATTAATGTATCTCCCCAACTCCCACACCGAGCTGACCCGATAATCACTGCTCCAGTGTAGATCATGCAAATGAAAAGCATAATTAATTGCACAAATGATTCAAAAAGGGAACGCTGTGGCTTAGCAAATAAATAAATAAATAAAGACAGGTTGGGAGGACAGGTCAGATAAATACTTTTTAAGACCTCCTCCAAGGAGCCCGGGGGTGTTGGCCGAGGCTTTGGGTTCATTCAGCCCTCCCTCAATGCCTCTCTTCCCTCTACATCCACAGTCTCCCCAACTTTGCCCCCCATACACACACATACATTGCACTGTATGTTCGCTGCCAAACTCTGAACCTGACCAACACTCCCGCAGCCACCTCCTATTTAACCAGCTATTATACCGAGGTATTCAGAAAATAACTGGTCCTCCCCTTCCCCATTTTGCTTCCTGTGCACCAAGGAGCAGCATTTTATCTGGTGCACGGGAGCCCCAATCCTTCCCATCAGCACTAATGATGGAATTGTTTCCCAGGCTTTGCCTCCTAAACACAGCAACTTGAGCAGTTGCTCAGATCAAAGCTCTGGGGTGAGGCAAGATGGGGGAAACAGTGTTTGTTCAAAGGAAGTGAACTCTTCCCTTTAATTACCCTATTCTTCTTTATTAGGATTTCTATTGAATTTTTTTTTTTTTTGCAAAAAAAAATTATGTTGGCTTAACCATAGTGTATTTAAGATGTAAATATATTCCAAGATGAAAACGTCATGGATCAATTGTAAAGGACCCGGATACATAATTTTAAAAAATCAGTTTCAGTGTATATGAGGTTCTCACCCCACTTTCGCTGCTCAGTCAGATTTGTTTATGCAGAATCGACATTTAATAGTGCTAATTGCACTCCAGTTAAATTGCCCTGATTGCAGAAAGGGAAGCAATTTTCGTGCTCTCTGTCTGGGTTTGGAAGAAATTGTTTTATATTCACCTCTTTATAAAGAAGTGGAGATAAGGCACCGGGGCCTTTGCACAAATTGCACTTAGGGGCTGACTGGCAGCATTCAGGCGCTATAATAGAGCATTATTTGGCCGTTTTGAATAATGTAAAGCGTTTGCTGAAAGCTATTCTCCTGAAAATTGCTTTAACTTTTAAAAGGGTGATGATTCACTCCAAACCAGGCCTTTGTTACATTGTCATTATTTCCCCAAATGTTTTAACAGTCAGCTCAACACTTTAGCATAACACATTGATCTTTGTTTAAAAACTAGATTTTTTAGAGGGTGAAAAAAATCTGTCAGGAAGGGAAAAAAAACAAAACTGGACTTCTTGGGAAAGGTTTCCTTGGGGCTCCACCTTAGAGCTGAAGTGGCCCGGGTGTTTGCCTACGTTCGTTTGGAAGCTTTCCCTAACTTTTATTGTGATCCGGACGCGTGTATCTAAAGGAATATCCGAGTGCGGGTGTAGAGAGTCTGACAGCTGGAACTGCGTTGAAAATGGTGGGAGGGGGATGGGGAGGGGAGTAGGAGGAGAGGAAGAAGGCGAGAGCGCCGGGAGCCCGAGGTGCCTGCGTGCACTGTTTTAAATGGTTGGCTTGAAAATGTCACCAGTGCTAAGTGGCTTTTCGGATTGTCTTATTTATTACTTTGTCAGGTTCCCTTAAGGAGAGGGTGTGTTTGGGGGTGGGGGAGGAGGTGGAAGTGGGTAACCTCGGCGCTTCTCTTCCCGGGGTTGCACAGGGTGAGTCGGAAACGCCTCGCTGCCACTTAACAATCCCTCTATTAGTAAATCGACGCCGAGACTCTACGGGAAGCCGAGCATCAGTCTCCCCTTCCCGGGCTTAAGTCACCTGTGGGAATGGCTCCTGGGTCCCCCTGCCGGGCTCTCCGGCTCTTCCAGGCTGCTTGTTTTCCCCCTCCATCCTGCGTCTCCCAGAGGCGTTTCACATCCTCTCCCAGATTTCCACGACAGTCCCCCAGGGCACAGCGCTTCATCAGAGCCGCGCAAGTCTTCTTGTTCTCCCTTCTCTCCTCTTTCTCTGTTATCATTTCCTTGGTGTTTCGCTAGCTTTAAAAAAGAAGAAGAAGAAGAAGAAGAAGAAGAAGAAGAAGAAGAAGAAGAAGAAGAAGAAGAAGAAGAAGAAGAAAAGGCATCTAAGCAAAAGTATTCAAAGGAAAAGAAAGAGATCCACTTAGCCCTCCCCACCCACAGAGTACACCCAGGATGCAAGCAGGCTCCATCTTAGGGCAGAGAGAAGAGCCACGGTGGTCGCACTTTGGGACCAAGACATTTTGTAGAAGAGGAGCGAAAACACTGCGGGCACAGCTCCATGTCCTCCGTCCTTGCTCCACCTCTACAACAATTCATGCTTTGCAACCGAGCATTTGGGGTTGGTGGTTTAAAAATTAAAGCGTACTTGGGCAGGAAAGGCGGGATGTGGGCTTGGAGGGGAATGTGGTACATTTAAAGCCAGTACCCAGGTCTGCCCGAGGGCTTTGGTATTTCTGGTTCAAAGCAGCCCCTGACTGACCTGGAGAAGAAAGAGAAAACGGGACCCAGAAAGAAGAAAAACATAAACAGATGAGCGTTTGCAGAGAGACTCAAGGACTCCCAATTGCCCATCTGAAGACACCTTTTCACACTGACAATGTCAAGGGAGCATTAGGCAATTCTTCAGGATGCTTACAGCCTGCAAAATGTGGAGGTGCTCACGTATGGCCTTGTCCTCTACATTCTACAGTGGAGGTCCCCAAGAGCCTCCTCGGGCAAGTCCGCGAGGGCGGGGCACTAGGAGGGAACCCACTTTTTAACTAGACGCCCTGGCCCTGCAGACAGCTTCTAGGCCCAGGAGGTGGTGGTGGGGCGTACACTGGAGCTGGGGCAAGAACACTCAAGTCCAGGCTGAGACGTGACATGCAAATCTTCACCGGGTTAAACAAACAGCCGAACAAGCTGCAGTTTCAGCGGGGGTGGCGGTGGGGGCGGACTCCGCTCGCGCCGGTCTCCTTTTCCAAAGTTGTTACAATGTGAAAATAAGCAGCTTCGTGCAGCGTGTTGTATGGGCTGATGCCTTCCACCCCCATGCCAGCCCCCAGCGAAACCCGGCAGATAATCAGCACATCCCACTGTTTAGTCATATTTGACAACTGGGTTAACCTGGTATCTAGGCGCTGGGTAAACGGTACAATGGGTGCCCTCAATTACCTCCAGCAGCTTCTGGCGTGAGTGGCACTTCTATTACCCCCGGGTCAGAGGCCAAAGCGACAATTAGGAAGTCACTTAGACTGCTGGGGGGAAATGGTGGGGATGCAGCAGCCGCCAGTCCCTCCCAACAAATCTGTGGGTGTCAACCTGTACCGCGAGGCCTATTTCCGCTCCGCGGAGCTGTCCCCTCGTACCCCTCCTCAATGTGATCCTGAGATTGAGTAAAACTGAACCCTGTAGGGGAAAAGAACTGAGTAGAAGACAGACGACAACGATGAATTCGTGTGCTAGAAAGATGAATACAGGCTGGAGTTGTGCTCCCGCAGGCGAGAACCTGGACACACAAAGTGAGCGTTGACATTTCTGTCTCCACTTGGGCCCGGCGGGTACTGCCTGCGCCTCAGCGCCCCCTCCCCTCCTTTCCCACAAGTGGGGAGAGGAGTAAAGCTGCCAGCCTTTACTGGCAACATCTCAGGGTGCTTCGGGGGCTTGTGGCTCGGTCTCAACTCTACTTAAACCAGGTTTGGTGTGTGAGTGTGTGTAAATTTTTAATTGCACTGTAATTTCTTCAGTCCGCAGCCCGGCAACCCCCCTCAGTAGCCATGACTGGCACGCGCCGGGAACCAGGGCTCGGGCCCCTCGGCGCGTCTGATTGGTTGCGCGGCAGCTCCCGTCTTCTGTGCCTGCGCCTTCATTGGGCGAGAGGCGAAGCCAGCGGCACTTCAAAGCCGGTGCGCCTCACACTTAGGCTGAGTTTAGCCGGCGGGAGCCCGGAGTCCGCTCGACGCGAGCGCGGGGACGCGCGAGCCTCGCGGGACCCGAGTACTTTTCCGAGCAGCCGTCAGGCTCAGTCCCGCTCCCGGCTCCACCACGCAGCCCAGGGACCTGCTATGGCCACGTCTATACTCGGGGTAAGTTGGAAGTGCGGCAACGTATTTGCGAATTTAACTGGAGTGATTTTTCGTTATGGCTTCTCGGCGTCCGCGGTTTCCGAGAAACTGTTGCTGCCTTATTTCCAGGTTATTGGAAATCCTAGAGATTCCTTTGCAAGAAAAAGATTTCTTAATTCCTTTTTGATCTGGTTTTAGTGTTTCTCTTTTTTCTTCCTTTCCCTCTTGGTTTATACCCCATCCCCCCTTGCTTCGGGGCTTGTGGCAATTATGCGACAGTGTTGTTTCCAGAAAGCAGCCCTGATCGTTTTGAAGTCCACATAGTCACGTTAACAAACACATTTTCGCGGCTCCCCAGCTCGCCCGTGCCTTTCAAATCCGTCGCTGGGTCGCTTCTCTTGGGACTATTGTTTTCGTAACCGGGGTTCTTTTGTGTAAACATTAAAACGTTTTATATTAAAAAAGAAAAAGAGCGAGTCATAGCCACCCTTGGGAGGAGATGTATAACTCAGTACCCCAAGTTTTCCCCGCCCCTGGTCCGCTGTTTCATCTGCCTCCGCCCTCAACCGGTGCTTGTTTGTTGTCTACGTGTTTATCTTGGTGCTTCACCCTGAAGGGTGACTTGGGGGATTCGGTGAGAGAGCCGGCTCGCCGCTAACGGAAGGCAAGCAACCCGATCCGGTTCTGGGCTGGGGTTGCAGCGACCGAGGCGGGGAGACGCAGGCATCTTTGATTTGTAGCTCCATTGAAGAACAACTTTGCAGCGCCAGGACCTTGCCCGGGATCGCCTCAGCCCAGCACCGGGAGGAAGCGAGGGCCGGGGTGCCACGGCCCCCCGGACCAGCCTTGGGGGGACGAGGCTGCTCACGGGTGCACTTTGTGTCTCCCCCCCACTTCCTCCTCCTCTTTGCTCCCTCCCCCACCCTATCCACTCCAGGAAGAGCCACGCTTCGGAACAACCCCGTTGGCCATGCTGGCGGCGACCTGCAACAAGATCGGCAACACTAGCCCGCTGACGACTCTGCCGGAGTCAAGCGCCTTCGCCAAGGGCGGCTTCCACCCCTGGAAGCGCTCCTCGTCCAGCTGTAACCTCGGCTCCAGCCTCTCGGGTTTCGCCGTGACCACCGGCGGCCGCGGCTCCGGCGGCCTGGCGGGCGGCTCCGGCGCAGCCAACAGCGCATTCTGTTTGGCCTCCACGTCGCCCACGTCGTCTGCTTTCAGCAGCGACTACGGAGGCCTCTTCTCCAACTCCGCGGCGGCGGCGGCGGCGGCGGCAGGGGTGTCTCCGCAGGAGGCAGGCGGCCAGTCGGCCTTCATCTCCAAGGTGCACACGACGGCGGCCGACGGCCTGTACCCGCGCGTGGGTATGGCGCACCCGTATGAGTCGTGGTACAAGTCAGGCTTCCACTCGACGCTGGCGGCGGGCGAAGTCACCAACGGCGCGGCGTCGTCGTGGTGGGACGTGCACAGCAGCCCGGGCTCGTGGCTGGAGGTGCAGAACCCCGCTGGGGGGCTCCAGAGCTCACTGCACTCGGGCGCCCCCCAGGCCTCGTTGCACTCTCAGCTCGGCACCTACAACCCCGACTTCAGCTCGCTCACTCACTCGGCCTTCAGCTCCACGGGTCTCGGCTCTTCCGCTGCCGCCGCTTCGCACCTGCTCTCCACCAGCCAGCACCTGCTGGCCCAGGACGGCTTCAAGCCGGTGCTGCCCTCCTACTCGGACTC